ACTTGAAGTTAACAGTAGAGTTCAGCATATGATTATAACAGATGTGAGATATTTTCGTTGTATTACTTGATAATAGTTTACTCCAAAAATGAATCATTCTCGATTTGATTACAATTTCAAGTGGATATCGTCCAAGTTCACCATATAACATGTAAAGTGGGGTGCTCTTTTTACTTTTAGTAATTTTTCTAAGGAAATCGGTATGTATTCTTTCAATCATGTCTAGATTTTCGTGACCCCAGACCTCGCAATTATATGTCAATATTGGAAGAATCGTTTGATCGAATAGTTTTAATTGAATATCAAGTGGCAAATCCAAATTGAAGATTCGCGTATACAGAAGGTGCATTGCTTTATTTGCCTGACTTGCAATCAGTTTACGGGCATTTAGAAAACTACCCGATGAAGAAAAGAGAATACCTAAATACTTATAATCTTTAACTATTTCAATATTTAAACCTCCTAAATAAAATTTAAAGTTTTCTGGTTTATTAGTTCCAAACACAATAATCTTAGTTTTAGAAATATTCACGGTCATTTTCCATTCTAAACAGTACAGATTAAAATCATTAAGTAAATTTTGAAAAACAGATTCGTTTTCACTTATAATGACAGTGTCGTCGGCATATAATAATACAAACAATTTTAAATATGTAAGGACATTGTCGTCAATGTTTTCAATATCAATGCCTTGATTATTGCGAGACAAATGTTCTTCTAGGTCATTAAGGTATATAGAAAATAAAATTGGGGACAAATTTTCCCCTTGACGGACCCCACAGTAACTCTTGAAAAATGGAGAAATACTATTGTTAATAGATACACAAGATTTAATGTCCTGGTACATATTATATATAATTTGTAATAGTTTGCCATTAATACCCGTTTTAAGCAATTTTCCCCAGAGGCCTATACGCCATATTTTATCAAAAGCGGCTGAAAAATCAATAAATGAACAAAACAGTTTTTTCTTTTTTGCTTTAAGTTTATCAATGAGAAATTTTAAGGTGAACACATGATCGGTTGTTGAATACTTTTGCCTAAATCCGGCTTGGTTCTCGTTTAAAATGTTATTGCTGGTTAAATACTTATTTATTCTTTCATTTAATACCGCCGTAAAAATTTTACCTAAGCAACTAAGTAAAGTTATTGGCCTATAATTCATAGGGTCACGTGACGAACCTTTCTTTTTATATAACGGGACGATAGTACCGATTAGCCAACAATCAGGTAGTATTCCCGAATCAAAAATTTTGTTAAAAAAATCGTACAAATAAAGTGATAGCCTCTCCATGACTCATGTTAAATTAATCTACAAATTTACCACAAACATTGTTTATATAAAACCTATGAGAAGATGTTGTTTTCTTCGTAACACGTTAGACCATTGAGTCAACAGGTTTCTAGTTTTCCAACGCCTGCTAAACGCACACCTTTAACACATTGGTGCGTCGCTCAAAACCGGTGTGCAATTTCCGGTGTTACCATTGTGCACGCAAACTTGGAAAAAATCAAGGCAGATGGCGTTGTTTATGGTGATTTCTATAATTATTTTCTGTAAAACGTTTTTTTCCAAAATTAAAACCGTAGTACAGCCTTTTATTATAGTTTGTGTGTTTATTTTCTTATCTGGATAGAATGTACTTGGATAAAGTAAAGTACAAAACTATTCCTCTTATGTGGTTGAAAACAGAGTATAGCATTGCACACATTTTTCATCAAAACATATCAAAGTCGAAAATGAAGTTTGATAAAAATTTGTCATGACTACCACAAAGACGAAGTACAGGGACATATATTGAGTGGTGCTGCGGGTATGCGATTAGTGCTGCAGGTGTATGTCTGGTGGTTGCATTTCAATGAATGTCCGACTTTAGAAGGTATTTTCCTTCTTGATTTCGCTAAAATATGTTAGACGCTACTTATATAAGGAAATAAATCGTTTATATGAAATCAGAATAATTCGCGAGTTCCCGTTATTTTTCAGAGATTCGAACGTTTTCATACCTGAATGTACATGTATATGCATTTAGCTAGTGTGGCGACTTAGCGTCCCAGCAGCGTGAAGTTGGTGGCATAGCGACCCGTGATCATGGACATGTATCCAGTAGGTTTCATTGGACTGCCAAACATTTCGACTTTTCATTTTTGGTTTAAACATATTTATTCCCGAAAGTATATATAATGTTCATGCAAATACTTAACAAACAAAATATTTTTACACAATGGAAAAGGATGAGAATGAAAGACAAGTCTTATAGAATTCTTCTCCTTTGGCGAACTATATAATTTGTCTTAAATAAGTTAATAGTTAGTATATACTAGACAAGGGAATAAGTTTTAGATATACAAACATATAAATATATATCTATTTATATAATCTTATATAGAATAGATTAACTACAAGTAGAAGTCTAAAATGTAAGAATAAATATAAAAGAATAAAACAAAATAGTGGGAAAGAGAAGAAAAAGGGTGGGAGAGGATTATAGTCTCAATAAGAATGGATCTAAGTAAACCTTTTCGTTTTTTCTATATAATTTTGTACATTTGTAAATATAATAACGTTGTCCTGATATGTAAGAGATGGGTCACCATAGAGAAGTTTATGAAGGTTTATGCTGAAGTCTTGAAAGTTAAGGAGGAGTGTTCTGCGGACGGCATCGTATGCACTTTTCATTTTTGATAGACTATGTTAAATGATATAAGACGATCTATTGTCAATTACATTTCTAAAACATGCTCTGCTTTATGCTGATAGATGACAAAACGGATTGCAACGTACTAACGTAATTGAATTAAGATGCAATCATTTAGCACCATGTACCTGTAGCACCATGCGCACATCAGCAGCATTGGACAGAAATTATAATAAATAAACACTGATAAATAAATAGTATTAACCCCTTGACACTCTTACTTTTCTTAAAGCTGGCGGTAGTCAACAATAATCAAAGTATGATTTGATCTAAGGGCTTTGATATGAATAATCTTGGTAGAGGTCCACGACACAATGATCCATGCCAAATATCTAACCTCTACTCTTTGTCAATTCAGAGAAACGATTTTTTAAGATTGTATTATATACATTTATGGAAAACCACCTATGCCCCCCCCCCCCCCACCGTCGGGGCAAATTTTGAAACTAGAGGCAAAATTTGAACAACCATCGTAGAGGACCAGTCCTATAGATGATATCATATACCAAATATCAAAGCTCTAAGCCTTGAGACATTTTAATCAAGATGCACACTGTTTTTAGCAAAACGAGTCGTAGAATTTCTCAAATATATTCTAATAGGTTAAAAAACGTAATACGCACGTTATAAAAGTAACAATGTCGAACTACGGTGTTCGTTTTTAATACATTTAATAAAAAGATCTAGATTATAAGAAAAGAGAACCACATACATCTAACTTTCTAAGATTTGGCGTAGAACAGTAGTACCAGAAATCGCACACCTTATTTGAAGTGAAGCAGCGACGGTGTTAAAGGTGTACCCCAAATCAACCGTAAAATCTAAGAGTGAATATATTTATAATTCACACACATTTCATATTTAGAAGTACAAAATAACCTACGATTTGTTCATATATACATGTATTTTCAAATATAAAATATGGCAAACGGAAGCGATACGTTAAAAAAATACACCAAAAGGGAGAAGACTTTTATGTAACTTAGTCTTCCGTTCTTATCCTTTTCTTGATTATAAAAAATGTTGATTTGTATTGTATATTCGGGAAATAAATATGTTTAAACTAAAGGGAAAATACATATTTCAATATATTAAAATAAACTTATTTTTACTTTATTAATGCATTAATTTACAAATAAATAAACAACATAAATATTTCAATTTATTAGAAACTTCATATCCACCGTCGTATTATGCAAATAAGACTTAGTATAAGTAACTATGAATATTTAAGAAAAATATTGTGTAGTCTTTAAATGAAATAAATGTGGTGTCTTTAAATGAAATGAATTTGGTGTTTTAAATGAATTGTAGTCTTTAAAAAAATTTGGTGCCTGTGGGTTAGATTGATAATACGACACAAAGTCCATGAAATTGAGCAATGTCAAGTTAAACAGCTCTAATGGATAAAAAGTCATCATTTTAAGATTATCATGACATCAACAAATGATTGTGGTATGCAAAAAAATGCTAAAATTATTGAATCAAATCAAACCAAAAATGCTTATTATTTAATATTTCAATATTTGGCGCTGGCTCGGAAAATTGTTAAGAATCATAACTCAACCCACACAAATGAATTTAAATGACATTTAATGTGAATCATTGTTACACATTAACGTCAATATTTATTTAAATTTAGCACATCAATATAAAAAAACTACAAAGAGCCATAACTCAATAACACATCCTATAAGCTTTTTAATGCCCACCATTTCTATATTTTATATATTCAGCTGAGTTTCATAACCATCTAACTTTCCATTTTCAAAATACAGGTCGAAAATGGAAATATATGCCCCTTGTTATAAAGACCCTTAAGTAACAAAAAGGGTTAAATCTGATCACATTTGGTTTCAAGAAAATAGACATATTGTTATAGTGCAGCGGTCATCGAAATTTATTAGGTTATTTTAGCTACGTTTGCACAGGGTCTCTCAAATACCAAGACCCTGGTTTGAACCTAGGAGGGTAAAAGTAATATAAAGTAATAGCAATCAACGCGGAACTAAAATTCATGACATGCCAGCATATATCCATATGTCCATAGTGTGAACTTCTATTGTAAAAAGTGACAGCTGATATAATTCTACCGTTTCTGTTTTGTTACAACCGTTATCTGGTTAGTCCATACAAATAAAACAGTTATAACAATACAGTCATGATAGAATTATAATATCGATAATCATCTGACAGGGTTTATTTTAACTGTTTTGTTACAACTGTTTTCACTTTATGAGACGAGCACACTATGTGTTTAAAGTCCAAAGATATAAAAAAAAAGAAATACTATGTAATTACCTTCACCAGAACAATGTATCCACTGTCTATATGAACACTGGTGATTTTCAATGTAATATCACTGAATAACTATAATATATCCCTAGAAACTTTACACATGTAGCAAGATATTGTTATGAAACGTTTGGTATAAGTAAAATTCTTTCAGAAATGCAAGAATTAAAAAAAACACCAAACAATGCACCGTTTTTTTCAACTTTAAACAGTGAAATTTTTAAAAAACCGTTTTTTTTTCACAAATACCTTAAAACACATTAAAATTAGGGTTCAATTAAGGGATTAATCCTTAATTACATGAAATATAATGTAATTAAAAAGATTTTTTTATTTTAACAACTAAACAAAGGGGAAAATTTTTCATCTTGCGTTATTGAAAAATTCATACTTTTTAAAATTTTTTTCATCTTTTATATACAAAAAATATTAATTATTTTTTTCAAAATATAATTTATGTTTAATCAGAAGTAATAGATTTAAGACATAGGAACAATATAAGTTTAATGTTTAAAAAAGATAATTAAGTTAATCTAGTTCTATGAATTGATTTTGTTGTCAACTTTTTGTCACTATGGTGTATGTTACCCCCACCCGACCCCCACCTGCCTCCCCTTTCCTAAGAACCCGCCTGCTGACGTTGAAAGAACTGGTAGCAATTAGAAGCATTTTGACGTTTCACATGTGTTACAGACCATGTCTTGCACATGTATATATTAAACGAATTCTTAGTTTGACTTTTGTGAATAAAAAATGAATATAGACATTGCATCCACATGTTCCTCAAACAATAAGTGCTTTGTGTGCATATTTAATAATAATAAAAAACAACAACAACAATACATTTTATTGATTTGACCAGTTACAGATCATCATCATACAAATTACATTGACATACATGTATACGTAAAAGTAGAAGTTTGGAAATATAAAAGAAAATTTAAAAAATTAAAAAAGATACAAAATATTGATATTATCGCTCCATGAATGTTAAATGGAGGTTGAACATTGTATAAATAAATTCCTTCCATCATGCCGTACATACAGAATTATCATAGATTTAATTAAGCTTTCTCTTAAACAAAACTATACATAAACTGATGAAAGTCTCAATATGATACGTTCTGGATTAAATTCTTTTCATTTTAGCCCTTTTCAACATCTTTTTGTAGAATTGATTCAAGTTTACATTTCTTTTATATGTGAGATATGTTATTTCAGCTTTCATTAGTTGTCATAGACAAATTTTAAATGTATCTTTTCTTCATTATTTGAAACACCTCGCAAGACATCTTGGCATAGCAAATCATGTGACTGAAACGCGTGATGTTTGATACTTTTATAATACACAAGGAAATAATTATACATTGCTTAAAATGTTTTGAAAGTGCAAGACAAGATAATTTGTTTATTTAAGTCTCAATTGTGCACACCCACATTAACAATATATTACAAAGTTATAAAAGAAATACGTGTACTCTTAAAGAGTTATGAGAGACTAAGAAATGATCATAAATAAAAAAACATTTAAAACAATATTAAAATATTGTTAAAAGCTGAAATATATGCATTTAACACAATAATTCAAGTATACTGTTCTAAACATGATAGCAGCTGATTTTAGAATGGAATGGAATGGAATGGGATTTTTTTTTCTATAAGAACAATTATTTGAAGCCCGCAAGACAGACTAGACATTGCCTAACTCCCAAATTGACAATGATTTACTGGAAACGTCTCACAGAATGGATATTTCTTTATTGATAGACCCGTATAAAGACGTTCCATTTTATATCTACTATAGAGAAACTCGGAGAAACAAGTTGATCTTTGTCTGCCGAAAGTAACACGGAGACATTCATTATGTACACCCTCCAGACTAAAAAGTCAATACACAATGACAGTTCCATCAAATTTGCTCCGAGCTAAAGTAAATTAATGAAGACAACAGAAATAACGATTGTAGTTTTGCTTGTTAACTTGTCATCCATGTCTGCCCTGGAATTTCTCATCAATTTCGGGGATAAACTAATCAAGCAAACTTCCTTTTCTTAATTGAAATGTGATGCGTTTGATTTCCATGCTAATGCACGCCTGACTTTTTGCTTCTTATATGATCTTTTGTTTGTCATATCAGTGAATTTTTTGTGTGGAATGAAAATACTGGTTAACAATGGGTAAATAATGAATGTTGAGTTCGCTGCTGTATGTTTTCATGTTTGTTTTCTGGCAGTTTCAAGGAAATATACTGTCGTCAGTCTAATGTTTCGGTGTCTTTTAGTGATTCTCCGTATTTGCCTCATGATTCTTCCAGAAATCACTGAGTTCAGTGGTTGAATGATCACGAACCTTTAGACAGTAAATTCTATGTAACATCCCATATATCACGGACGGAATATCTTATTGTCATCTTTTCTTATTTAATTCATCAATTTTGATTAATGTAGCAAAGCCGTTTTACGCGAACTTTTCCAGACATTGCCTTATAAATTCACTGACCTTGACCTATCATAAATAAGTATAAGCAATCATCATTGTTTACTGTACGTGTTATTTTGTCTTCGACTCCATATTTGATATAGTTAGATAGTTAATCATCTAATTCCTCCGTTCTTGGGAGAACATGAAAACTTTCGATTTTCTTATACAATCTATTTATCAAACTTTTCCAATTCGTCTGAAATTCTGGAATTATTTCAAACTTAAACAGTAGACTTTTCAGAGATAATTTCTCCTCAATAAATCATTTTTCTTTATCTATCATATTGCAATAATTTTGCATTTTATGCATAACATAAAATCCCCTGATATTTTGCGATATTTGTATTTGTCTGTTGGAATTGAATCCCAGGGAACAGTTTATCGATTATCTTGAAATGTCTGTAAATGTCTATAAATGTCACCCAGGATTTTGTTCTTTTTTTTATAGATTTCAATTATCTTCCGTCAATTAACATAAAATGACAGATTGAAGTGGCATTGTAATGACTGGTAACAAAGACAATTTAGAAAGTGTTTTGATATTTATTTGTGTTTTATCGAACTGTTCATCAATTATTGATCGCCTTACTTGTAATAGTTATGGGACCAGATGAATTATGAATATTGAGCGTCAACACGCTTGGAGACGTCACGGCTGACTGACAGACCGTGGTGAGTGCTGCTTTTTATTGTAATTGATGGAAATGTACAGCATCCACCAGTGCCAGCCCGCATAGCTCAATCGGTTAGAGCGCAAGACTTGTAATCTCGACATTGTGGGTTCGATTCCCGGGCTGGCCAACTAAAATTACTAATCAGTCTTTCGGATGAGACTTTAAATCGAGGTCCCGTGTATGGGTGCTTAAACACTTGGCACGCTAAAGAACCAGGAGAAGCTTCTGGAATTGGGGCATCTTTCTGTATCTGTAATTGCACTATCCTCCGAAAAATAAAATGACTAATACTCTTCTGGAGGGCTCGCCCATATGGGCAACCGGTGGCGAGTATAAATAAACGCAAATACACACACACACATCCACCAGTTTCACATATCCTACCCAAGCGTTACACTCTAGTTAGTTCAGGAATCAATAACCGTAGCTTTACTCTATAATATATTGAAATAGAATTTAAGAATATACATTGCATTGGCTGATTAATAAATTAAGTGACGAATGTCATTTTAAAGTTGTTGACTGCCTTTTTGGTGTCTAAAATATGATTACATTATTATTATTATTATTACCATTATTTTCTTGCTATACCCGTATGATTAAATAAATTTCATTATGCTGCCCTACAAATATTTATTTTCTGCCTTACAAATATTTATTAGCATATGTTAATCTCCTAAAATATTCATTATGAAAGACAAAAAAAATTTTGATCAGGGAAACATGCTTTAAAGCCTAAAATTTTTTTTTTAATGTAAATCGTATTTTAAAAAATTTCCGGGTAAATGTAGATCTCGCCCTGGCTATTTTCTCTAGTTTTTCCAGCCAAAAACCCGGAAGAAAATTTAAATTTTACGCTTTTGCAAATATATAAAAAAATCTATTTGCCCTTTTTTTTGAAAAAAAAAATTTCACTGGTATAAGAAGGGTTTGCGTTTCTCCCGTGAAGCATTTGTGAGTCTTTTTGTTTTTTAATGAAAATATTTTTTCCCCTTTTTTAAAATATTTTTTTTTTAAACGCCCATTGAATCCCTGGCATATAAAGAAAGCGAGTCTTCTAAAATTTTTAAATATTATCCTCTTTGCGCGCAATTTTTCCCCCGGCCTTTTGTTCTCGGCAAACAAAGCAGAATCCCTACAGAATAGGGACCCGCTATTAATGATGGACACCCTAAATGACATTTACAGATTTTTTCCCGAACCCTTGAGCAATTATCAATGATTTATTGGTGTAACAAAGGAATGAAATTGAATTGTGTTCCAATGAAATCATATTTCAGGCATTTCTAAAACAAAAATATATTTCAGACGGTTGCGAAAACAGTTTGCAATATTTTGAATGTTTCCTCTTTTGTTTCGAACAAATGTCTGACTCATACTTATTTCTATTCTGTCCGTCAACCCGTCTTATAACTTAGTGATTTTGTCGTTGTTTTTTTTTTTCGATCCGTGGGTGTCAGACAAAAACACGAAAATAAAAGACAACACTTTGTCGTATTATCGTGTTTTCGCCTTGCGCCAAGAGGAGTGAAAGTACAACAAAATGAGACTGTCATATTTTCGTGTTTTCGTCCGGCTCCCCGCGCAGCAAAAATACGACATGGCACCAATCACCCACCATAGTTATAAGATCTGAACATTTTGTACATATACATATATACTTATTTTGTAATTATTTTACAAAGCTCACATATGCTCACTTTAATCTGGTTGATATTTTTTCGCTCATAACAAATTGTAGATAAATATTTCATGTCCATTTTTCACACGTGAATCTGCGCACACTGAAAGTTTCATTAGAAACAGAAATGAAAATTATTTGGGCGTTTACTGTTGAAACGAATGATTGAATAAATCATATACATTTACGTGAGAACCATTGTAAAATTGTTGTTTGGAAATATACATTTATTATTGATAATATTTAGACCTTAAATCAGCCGAAATTCGTCCCTAGATACTTATTAAATACATGTTTGCCTTATTTTA